GAACTTTACTAGCAGTGTCAGGAGAACCTTTGGGATGAAGGTATCTATATCATTAATTCCACTAGTTTTACCTTATAAAGGACACTTTATCTCTATTTTCTTTAATAAATCCATCTGGACTAAATGCCACATGAGGGCTAGTAGAATTAATTATTAAACCTGTTTCATGTAAAATGAAATTATAATTTTGCTTCAAACATTCCTTAGCAATTCTTTCACAATTTTTACCATACCTGGTAGCATGATTTCCAGCGAATTTTGGAAACATTATTTTTAATAATTTTGTTTCCCAGGATGTGCTACTGCAGCAATAGTATCAAAGAATATAGACGCTTAATTAATAGTATGTATATAAATTATATGCAGAAGTACCTGTGATTCTTATCTGCTGATGTTGCATCCACATTTTATTCTCACTATTCTGTAGCCTTGTATTTTTGCAAATATCACAAGCTTCACACTGTTTAATACTAACAAAATGCTAACAAATTCATAATAAAATTGATAAAAGTTTATAGTGTAGAAAGGATGTCTTGATGTCTTCATAAACATGGTTCACGCAACTTTATTCATTCCGACTCCGACTTCCGACCTCTCGTCTCATGTCTTACAATCTTCTTGTCGTCTATCAACTGTCAGCTGTCATTACACCTTGACAGAACATCAAATTTAAATTAAAAAAGGCGGTAACAATAAGAAGCCTACAATAGCTAATTGTTCACAGATACTTAGCATTAATTGTTTTATATTCTCCATTCGCTTAGCTAGGGCACATTTTGACAGACTCATTGTCGGAAACCTACAACACAACAATTCCTACTTCTCAGTATTAATAGCTCAAGTATATATGCAGACTTCTTTCTTTGAAAAAAGAAGAATTATTCGAAATAGTGGAAGTGTATACTAAACCCATCAAATTTTCCCTGTATATTTAATATATAATATTTGAATTGTTACAATTTAAAATATTGTAGTAAATATTTGTATTATTCGCGTTGTTTATTTAATTTAATATAGTTTTATTGTTTTATTATCTTTGTTTAATTCTTTTGTTAGTTCTATTCAGTTAATTAGTTCTATTTTAAATTTTATTATTATGGATAGTAAAAGTTTTCCATTTGTTCCATCAGCTAATGCGTTGGTAAGTTTTTCTTAATAAATATGATAAAATGTTTTTTAAAAGTTAATATTTTTAGATGAGTAAGGATGCTGTTCCTAGATTACAAGGTAATAAAACTGCACAAAGATTTATTCAAAATGCCTACCATTTTTTTTTAATTATTTGCCGAATGAAAACCCTGTTGAGGTAAGTTGATCATTAAAATGTATTTATCGAATTATGTAAATGTTACAAATGTTCTTAATAACAAAAACATTTCAGTTGACATCCAAATGTCTGAAAGTCTCAGAAAAAAGTGTGCGGAAATATAAAGATGGACCTAATACAAACCTCGCATTAAAGAAGCAAAATTGCAAAAGAAAATTAACGACTGACTTAAATCATATTATCAAAAATCAAATTCGTTTAGAAATTTATCAAATGTATGAAGAAAGTAAGTGTTTATTATATATAAAAATATATATTTTATAAAAAAGTTAAGCTAATTTAGTTTATATCGTTAAGTTGCGCCAAATGTATGCAACCAACTTAAAGTTTTTAAATTCGTTATTATTAATTAATTCTGTTAGAGTAAATATATTTTGTTTTGTGTTGCTGATTAAACCTATATTATTAGTAATTAAGTAATTACATAAACTGTCAACTATCTGAATTTTGAATATATTTTATTTTGTTCGATTAGGTATGTAGTTGTTAGGGCTTCGTATATTGACACTCTTTCCGAGAAAATTTCCAGCTTGGATATGTAAACTACCTAAAAATTAATAATTGATTTAGAGTTGCCTCTTACAATATCTAGTCTGCTGAAGGTTTTAAGATATAAAATTATTTATGAAGGAGGAAAAGCAAGCCTCTTTCTGATCTTGAAAGAAATAGGATTCATATACAAAATAGACAGTCCACAAAAACATTTCATGAAAGTTCCTCACGTAGTTGAGATGAGGCATAATTGTTTAAGGATTTACCATGAAAATGACCAAAAAGACAAAAAGCCCTTAATTTTTTTAGACGAAACATGGATATTTTCTTCTGGATCAGTTAGAAGGTCTTGGTAGGATGGGACAAATAAAGGAATAAGAAAAAGAACTGCACAACACAAGGAACTTGCTGTGTCTTATTTAACCTCACTTTGACTTCTTAATTTTGTAGAATTTATTCCCACTATTTTTATTTTATACAATAAATAATTTTATTATTTATTATCACATTATATGGTGTAAATAAATAAATATTGATTGTAGGTAATTCGCAAAGTTCTATTTTATTTACTTTTGTTTACATTAATATCGACTAAGAGCACGAATGCTTGGTTGTATAGTAATTTCCAGCCACTTTTAGTCTGTCAAAACGTAACTAACTTAGCAAAAAAATAATTACTAAAATCACTAGACAGTTCGGACTGGGAATAGTGAACGGGGTTTATCATTGGATATTGATATAAACTGATTAAACAATGCGGCTTCAAAATCAGTTATCCTTGTTATGTTATCAGGTGTTGCTATCCCAGAACTTCAACAAATAACTTGAGGGCAGAACCTGAAACTACAAGTGACAATTAATATAAAATACTCATCACAAAAAAAATTGTTAAAAATATCTTACTATTATTCATGATGTTAAGTCAAATAGGTAATATTCATTATTTATTTTTACATGTTTTAAATTAATCGTTGGGATAATATAAAATTATTAACATGGAATCTTCATGTTTCAATAAAAGTTGGTGTAGATATTGTATATAACATTTGTAGAAAAAAATGTAAAAATAAATAATGAATATTACCTACTTGTTTCAAATGCATGTGCGCTCAGAGTTTGACACTAAAAACACAATCAAAGCTAGTTCAGCCGAAATCCATGAGTGGTTGTCATTGTGACTTGGCATCACGAATATGCCTATCAAAGATTTGTTCTTAAAAGTGCTGCATATATCATGCACTAGCATAGTCTCTGAAAAACCTGATTTTACTAAAAGGTGTCTGATGAGATAAATTCCAGACAGTGTGAATTTTTCATATTTAAAGCCATTTAATAATATTTTTCGGAAACTAAATGCTTCATGCTGGAAACACTAAGTGCATGATAATATTCAGCGACCTTTAATGTGCACATACACAACAGCAATGCTTTAGAATATAGTAAACCTGTACCTGTGAAGCAGTTCTGCCATGCAGCTAAAAGGAAACTCAATATACAGCCTACCGGATCGGTAATCTGCCACTGCCCCAAACTTGTTCTACATCTGTACTTCATGTTCTAGTTCATCTTGTCTACAAGTAAATTAAATAAATATATTAAATAGTATATATACATACATTATTACAATATTATAAATACATACACCGTTAAATCGCAATAACTCAAAAAAATCTACTAAAACACACTTACCTCTGGGCTTGTAATAAAATTGCAATCACATGTTTGCACATTCCTCCCTGGCTGGCTTTACAAGTGCATTTTGCCATCCACTCGTCTCTTAACACATCCGTCATCCACAGTGATTTCATGTGGGGCACCATTTAAATTAGTCGTTTGCAGACACAAACCGACTAATTTATTATTCTATTTGCCACAAAACAAAATGTGGCCAGCCTTTAACAAGGCCTCGCCTTCTTTTAAAGGTCTTTTTGTGTCTCCTACATATTTTAAACTATCGAGCAGACTAACTACAATTTCTTTATTTGCCATATCGTTAAAAAATAATAAATAAAAGATAATTAATAGGGATAATTTTTAGACACAACAATGATTCATCTACAAAGATTATGGAAGCTCTGTTTTGTTTTCCTACGTGCGCGATCAGCTGATCATCTGTCAAAGCACCCCATACAGTTGGTTGTTGACATAGCCAATATTACTTGCACCATAGACCAAAATATGGTTTTTGTCTATGACTTGCACAGATGACAGACGACACTACTGTTTTGGCAGTGTCAAGAGTCAAGAGAACGTTGAGATGAAGTTAGCTACAAAGAACGTCCATAGAACAGAGTGACTTGTAGCGCCACCGACATTACGAACGCTCGGACTCAGCAAAACCTACTTCCCACTCTTCCCACTTGTCCCATGTCACTTGCACTACTGGGTGCAAATCATAGAGAAATAACAAATAATAACTTATTGTTATTTCTCTATGGTGCAAATCCATGGTTATAATTACGTCTATGATCTAACCAGCCTACTATTACATGTTTGTCAAAATTAAAGTGCCGATGAAGTTAGGTACAAATTAGTGACAGATTTGTATTTGGCAGTGTTGGCATATCACAAATAAATCACGAAAGAGCATGCGATATAATATTAAATAATTATACTAAACATTCTTTTTAAGTTTTTAAAAGAAGTTTAATTAATTTAATTTATTATAATTTAAATTAACTTTGATTTTTTAAGCTATTTTTCAGGTACCATTTCATCCCAAAATTATAAGAAAATAGTCATAAAATTGAAATCTGCTGAACATCTGTTGCAATCTGGCAGCTAGGGTTTTCAAAGTTCTGACAGTATTGCCAAGTTTATTTGCTAATCTACCAAAGGCCAATTATAATTTTTTTTCTAATAGCTAACTGCAACTGATATCAAAAGAAACAAATAATTATTCGTTCGTGTTTTATATAAATTTAAACAATTAAAAAAATAGCCGATTTCATAAAATAATATAATAAAAATGTACTGTTTCAAAGCATATTTGAGGCATAAAACATATACATAATAAGGACATGGCAATACCGTAAACACAAATTGGACATAACATTTAGAGCCAACTTCATCATCGGCACTTTTGCCAAATGTTCAAATTGCAAATATATCTCTGCCTATGAAAACTCTGAAGTTGGCCTAAAAACTTCAGGAAAAACGAAAACAAAGCAAACTTCACTACACAGTCTACTGCACGTATACAGTGAGTGAGGTTACCTAATTTTTATAAATATGATTTAGGCTCAAAAGTTAAAATGTAAACATTTTTACTTTAATAATTATAGCAAATACTTCTACAATTTTTAGTTACATGATCAAAAACTGATTTCCTACTTAAATCAATTAGATTACCTATTAGTTTCATTTTTGGGACTAAGCAATGCCTGGAAAAGTAAAAGTCAAAATATCATCAGGGAAAAATCTCCCTGTAATGGATAGATCTAGTGACACAACGGATGCTTATGTAGAGATAAAATTGGGTAGTACAACATTTAAAACTGATGTGTGTCGAAAGTCCTTACATCCCCAATGGAATACAGATTGGTACCGTTTCGAGGTAATTTTAAATTTTTAAATCATACATTAATTACTCTACTATACCATCTACATGCTTAATAAATATATCAATTATAGGTAGAAGATTCAGAATTACAAGATGAACCATTACAGATAAGACTAATGGACCATGATACATACTCTGCTAATGATGCTATAGGTAAAGTCTATCTTAATTTGAATCCACTGTTACTACCCGTTGATGGTCAGATAATGAAGTATGGATTCAATGGGGACAGCTCAATTCACCATGAAATATCAGGGTGGCTTCCAGTATATGATACTATGCATGGTATTAGAGGTGAAGTTAATATCACAGTTAAAGTTGAACTATTCTCAGACTTTAATAGATTTAGACAATCATCATGTGGTGTACAGTTTTTTTATTGTAAGTACTAATTTAGAATACTGAATATTACTTATAAATCCTTTTAGTGTACATGCCTTAAACAGGACATCAGTTTTGTCTATGCCAGAACATTATTAGGGCATAAAATCATGCTAAGAATCATTCCAGATATGGCATATAAAAAAAAATAATGTTTTGTGGAAAACAGACAGATTAATGTATTTTATTTGTTTTTACTCTCAATCTGTAGAAGGTGCAATGAAATGTTTAGATTTTAGATGATCAGTAGCTTTGGGTCTCATCATTAACTTCATTAAGCAAAGACAAAGCAATAGCAAAAATATATGCTTAAAATCTTAAAGAGCGTTTTATAGGGCTAGTAATGAGGAGTTCATTGAATTCAGTATCACAGTGAAGAAGGAAGATGTGAAATGTGCTCTTCCCGAAGCAATATACTGTCAGCCACATTCAAAATGTATTAATTGCAATGCTTTTTGCCTTAAAATGATAAGAAAATTGTTTTAATCAATATCATGACATTATTTTGTGTGTCATTTTGAATTATTTTTAGCTCCAACAGTGCCTCAAGGTTATCAAGCAAAGCTGATACACGGATTTGTAGAAGAGCTAGTAGTTTATGATGATCCGGAATACCAATGGATAGATAAGATTCGTACTCCAAGGGCTTCAAATGAAGCCAGGCAAACACTATTTTTTAAACTTTCTGGAGAACTTCAGCGCAAAATTGGTGTAAAGACCTTAAATTTAGGTGGTAATGCTGTCATAGGTTATAAACAGAGTTATGATTTAGAGGGAGAGTCAGGAATTGTAGCTAGAGGTATTGGTACTGCCATAACTTTGATGGTATCAAGTACCAATAGTAATGGTCCCATATTACCTGGAGAAAATAAAGATGAGTAAGTATTTTTTCTAAATTATTTCTTTACTCCTAGTTTTCATTTGATGAAGCTCATTAACACTGAATTTTTATCAGTTATTATATTATATTATTAATTTAAATCAGTTTTTCACTAACAAATGAAATTTTTTTATGAAAAAAAGCTTACTTTAAAATTTTTGTTTATAATTTTAAGAAAGTAACTAACTGAAAGATGCATTAAAATGTTCTGCCAGTGATTCCATGAGTTTAAGTAGAAAAAATAATCAACTAAAAGTGTCTAAAGAAATATAAATTACATTTATCTTCTTCTTCTAATGGCGCTACAACTCTTTGTGAGTCTTGGCCTGCTTAACAATGTTATTCCATTCCACTCATGTCTACATGTGGGACACTTTCCTTCTCCACTGCCTGATGTTCATAGTTTTAAGATCCCTTTCTATGTTGTCTATCCATATTTTACTGGGCCTTCCTCTTGTTCTGTTTCCTTGGGTCTTCCATCTCTGGGCTACTTTTACTAGGTAGGGAAAAGTGGAGGCATATTTGTAGGTATGGTTGTCTACCTTCAGATTCTCATGTTGATTCGATTTTGTGCACTCTTGTTTTGCTTTCATTTATATATAGACCAAATGTAGTAGCTTCTCGTTTCATTTCTATAACTTTTTCGCTTAATACCCTTTTGTTTTGGCTTATTATGGCAACATCATCCACATATGCGCATATTTGCATTGATCTTGTATTAATACAGCTGTTTATATCCAGTTTTCTAACAACAGCTTCTAAAGTTAGATTAAAAGGTGTTGTTGATAAGCTATCACCTTGTCTAATTCTATTTTCAATATCAAAGGCCTGTGTCATATCTCCATATATTCCCACCATAGCTTTAGAACCCTACAGAGTCATTCATATAAGTTTAACTAATTTATTGGGTATCCCTAACATAAATAGGTGTTTTAACATCTTTTGTCAATCTACTCCATCAAACACCTGTTTGAAATCAATATACAAGTTGTAAATAGGTATTTTATAATCAACACATGTTTCATGCATACCTCTTAACATATGTATTTGGTCTATAGTTGATTTCTTTGGTTTGCATTTGTCTCCCCCTTTGTACATAGGAAGTATGACTCCTATTTTCCAATCTTCTGGGATTACTTCTAGTATCCATATGCTGTCGATTAGTTTATGGATACGCCTCCATAGCGCATGTCCACCATTCTTTATCAGTTCTGCAGTTATTCCATCTGTGTCAGGTACTCTGTTATTTTTTAGATTTATTATGACATTTATCGTTTCTTTCAATGTTGGTTGCTTAACTAGTTGTTCTGCTGTGTGGTGAATTATTTTTTCATCTTCATTTTGTTCTTTTTCTAAGTTTAACATCTCTTGAAAATGTTGCTTCCACCTCTTCATTATAGTTTTTTGGCTTAAGTTTCTACTTCTCATATGTCTACTCAGTCCAAAATAGCATCTGTTTGCCATTACTATCCTTCGCTTGATTTCTTCGGTTATGGCATTCTCTTTGGTGATCAGGGAGCGTAAGTATGTGAATTTGTCAACCACTTCAAAGGTAGAGTTATCAACCGTGAATTGGGGACCGATGTTCCTGGCTCTATTGTTGGGTGTTGATGCCATCATCTTAGTTTTCTCCTCATTTACTTGCAGGCCCATAGATTTTGAGGCATTTGAGAAGGTGGTATACATAACTATATACAACTATATGGTGGTAACTATATACAAAACCCTTATACAGCCAGTGTTGACATATGGATCGGAGACATGGACCATCTCCAAGGCAGACGAAGACCTTTTGCTTATATTTGAACGAAGGATCCTGAGGTGGCATCTGTGAAAATGGTGTTTGGAGGAGGAGATACAACTACGAGGTATACCACAGATATAAACAAATATTTGGTGGTAAAGACGTAGTATCTCTTATAAGAATAGGAAGATTAAGATGGGCAGGACATCTAGCAAGATCACAGCAGAACAACCCTCCTAGAAGAATCCTTATATCACAAGCCGTGGGAAGCAGAAAAAGGGGTAGGCCAAAACTCAGATGGAAGGATGGCGTAGATGAAGATGGTAGAAAGATAGGCGCAGCAAACTGGCAACAGTTGGCAATGGATAGGACTGCCTGGCGTAATAGACTTGGGAAGGTCGAGGCTCTTTCATAGGGCTGTAGCACCATTAATGATGATGACCTCTTCATTATTTCCTCTTTCTCACTGATAATTGCCCCATTTTTGTGCTTGCAAACTGTTGATCTTGTCATGTATCCTTGGATGTATTGCTTGATTTCCTTGTATCTTTTCTGAGTTCTTCATATGCCTTTCTATTCAATTGGGAATCCCTTTGTAGATATTTCTGTCCAGCTATATTTTTGCTATTTATTACTTGTTGGCAATCTTGGTCAAACCATTCCTCGTTTCTTTTGCTTGAGGTTTCACCCAATGTTTCCTTTGTCATATTTGTAATTGTCGTTTTGATGACATTCCATTCTTCTTCAGTGTTGTTTAGGACTATAACTGCATCTCTCTTCTGTGTGTTTTCACATTCTACTTGTAGTTGGTCAGAGAATTGATTGGTTATTAATTCATCTGCTGCTTCTGTTAGGGCATGGTTATTAATAGTTGTAATATTATGAAATTTTCCCCTTAGACATATTTGGCATATTCTTTCATTAACTCAAGTGCAATCCAATACTGACCTGCGGCATTTATGGTTTAACATAAAACTCACTCCAAAGTCTCCTTGTCTTTCTGCTCCACAGTAGTACATACTGTATTCTTTTTTATTTGTGCGATCATGCCGTTTGAATCTGATTTCTTGGAGGGCTGCTATGTCTACTTCATACTTCAATAGTTCCTGTGCCATACTTTGCATTTTGCCTGCCTGCAGCATGGTTTGGACATTCCAGGTTCCCAGTCGCAAATACATCATTAAGTCCTTATTCCGTAGCTTTGATTGTTGTCCATTGGTCCATCCGGTTAGTTCATTGTTCGTAGCATTCGTGATAGCTGAGTTTAAGGTGAACAGTTTATCGGCCTATTGCACCGAGTCTTTCTCCCTTCCTCGTCCGGGCTGACCCTACCTTCCATTGGGGTTGGTTACCCAATCTCCAATAAGGTTGCTCAGGTTTACCGGGGTTTACCCGTGTGATCAAGATCACACTTCTTGGAGGTGAGGATAGGAATTTAGTAGGAGAGGCTAGTGGTGTTATCTGCAAGCAACACCTTGTATTGCGCTTCACTACTCCTTTGAACCCCAAATTACTTTTTATCTAATGTCTTATAAAGTGGGGATTGGATGAAAGCACAAGAATAGTACTTCTTATCTTAGTACTTTAATTAAAAACCGAAAGTTTATTTATCTGCTATAATAATTGCAATGTCAATTATTTAATTTTATAGATTCTTTGAAGATGTTTTGATTCAGGCTTTTTAAAACTCTCGTTTACTTCTTACTACTATGTTCATTTCATCATCATGTGAAATTTCTGAGCCATCTTTAGGCATCTCTATACTATTGTATGCTTTTTAGTTTCAATACTTTGTTTATTAGGTTTTTCAAAAATGAAATCACAAAACCTTCTAATTCCACTCCTATTTCTGGCAGATGAACAAAGACCAACTGTTGAAATGTCAGGCCAAGCCCTCGATTTCAGTCCCTGATGTATCAGTAGGACTAAAACGAAAAATTCCCTCGCTGCAATGCTAATTCTCTTAACTTTAAATCCCAAGTTGGGTCAATTCGTAATATCATTTTGATTCCCAGGCTATGATCTGTGACGTTGGATTTAAGCTGCTATTTTCCAATGTAAACAAACAATTGGATTTTGTTTATTCTAATCGAATATTTTGAGATGCAATCTTACATGTTTCTCTTTCGAAGATTTGTAAAACTCAAATTGAAACCTTTTACAAAGTGGAAGAAAAAATGCTATAACCTTATACACTGTTCTTTATTTTTTTTTGTTCCGCATTCTGGGGTATTATTTTTTCTTTTTGTAAGAAGCATTATTTTACTTCTTCTGCATTTTATTCAGTTAACTTCTTCTGTTATTGACGACTGAGAATCTCTACGATTAGTTACTTCAGTTTGACTAATATTGATATTTGATTCACTGAGTTTGAGAAGGTATTTTTCTGGAACTTATTGTACGCCAGACCGCAAGAGTTCTCACTGACCTCTTGCAGTGTATGTTATAAGATTCTTCTTCTTAACGTGCCCTATCAAGTTCCCTTGACGTCGGTGATTAACATGGCGAAACTGTCTCTGTCTCGAGCTATTCTAAAGAGTTGCTCAGCTTTCTTTATTTTTGTCCACTCTCTGATATTCTTCAACTAAGAGGCCTGCTTTCTACCAATTCCTCTGCGTCCTTCGATTTTACCCATCATAATAAGTTAAAGAATATTATATCATTCTCCCCTTGCTATGTGTCCAAAATTGGCCATCTTTCTACATTTGATGTTATCAAGCAGCTCGCGAGCAGCATTTGCTCTCTCAAGGACTGTCACATTTGTCAGCTTAGCTGTCCATGGAATTTTTAGTATACGTCTGTGCAGCCACATTTCAAAGGCCTCCAGACGATTAATGGTGGATATTTTTAATGTCCATGCTTCGACACCGTATAAGAGGACTGACCAAATGTAGCATTTAACCATGCGCTTTCGAAGTTGAAGTTGCAAGTTATCATTACAGAAGAATGACCTCATTTTTAAAAATGTCGTGCGGGCTATCTCGATTCTACATTTTATCTCTTGATCTGGATCTAGTTTTTCAGTAATATGGCAACCAAGATAATTAAAACTGGACACTCGTTGAATTATATGACCATCAACATATAATCGTGCATCTTGATGTGCTAAATGGCTAAACACCATGTGTTTTGTTTTTGAGCAGTTTATGTTTAGGCCAAACTTTCTTCCCACTGTATCAATGGTATTTAAAAGGCATTGTAGTCCATTCATGTCATCACTTAAAATAACTGTATCGTCTGCATATCTGATTGTATTTATCAGAATAATAATAACTTTCACGCCCCATTCCAAATTATGCAGCGCTTCTTTAAATATTCTATCTGAATATAAATTAAATAACAGTGGGGATAGTATACAACCCTGTCTGACACCTCTTTGTATTTTACATATTTCTGTTGATTTTCCTTTTATGCAAGCTGTCGCTGTTTGACGCCAGTATAACTTTTCTATGAATCGTATGTCATGACTATCAACTCCTTTATCTTTTAATATTGTAATTAATTTGTGATGCTGTACTCGATCAAAGGCCTTTTCATAGTCAATAAATACAGCAAAGACGTCTTTCCTTTGATCTCGACATTTCTGCAGTAATATATTTAGTGCAAAGAGGGCATCCCGAGTTCCCAGTCCATTTCTGAAGCCAAATTGTGTTTCATCCTGGTCTTCTTTACATTTATCTCTGATTCTACTGTGGATGATGCGTAGAAATATTTTCAAAGTGTGGCTCATAAGGCTTATCATTCTATAATCGCTACAGTTTTTCGGATGTTGTTTTTTTGGTAGTGTTATGAATTCGGACTTTAACCAATCTTCAAGGATATCACCAGTCGAATAAACATCATTGAAAAGCTTGACCAGTATTCCAATGTTCTCCTCATTTATAAGCTTTAACATCTCTGTCGGTATGTTATCTTCTAACTAAGTTCTTTTCTAACTTTATAGCATGCAGTATCTCTGATTTTAGTATTTCTGGTCCTTCACCTTCAACTAAAGGCTCCAGTTCTTCGGTTCTATCATCATTATACAGTTCACTTATATAATTACACCAGGTTGTTTGGATTAGGATGTTATAAGATTAGGATGTATTATTTGTAAGTACTAGAAAGAACTCAGAATTCACAACGCCGATAGCTGCATGTGTACGCACTAGCTAAGTCATCGTATTTTCCACATTTTACAATATCTGTATTGTGAATCAAGAACATTTTAATGGATTTAAATAAAAAAATGTTTTCAAGCAGAAAATATACATTCACATTTTGCCATTTTAAAGTTATATTTTTCTTGTTCATACAGGCATGTTAAAGATTATCTCGAATTCGTTGGTGATGGCAAAAGCTTTCGCTTGAGCAGCACACCAAACGTCTTATCCTTTATGCTTCCCGCCTTTTCTAAAATGTCTAAAATTGCCAATGTTACCTTTCCTAAATATAAACGTAAATCTCGAAAAATTGATTCTTATGTAGATTCAGGTGGTATGAGAGCATCACATTCTATCGAAAATATTTCTCATAGCCCAATGGAAAGATTACTCCAACAAGAAAATGAAAGAGGTAAAACATATGGTTTGCCTCAAAAGTTAAAGAATCTTACATATTCTCAAAAGTCTTTAAGTAAGAGAATGACAGCTATAAAATCAAAACTTTCAGGTAGTATAGGTGAGAAAATAGATGAAGAACCTGTTGTTCAGAAAAAATACCTTCATAAGAGGTCAGATAGCGATTCTAGTTTTATGGCAGAGGTTTTAGCCCGTTCTGCTATTCAGGTTCACAATAGTTTGACTTGTATATTAGAAGTAAAAAATCAGTCTGCAGATGAGGGTAAATCAAACGAAAAATCGGACAAATATAATAAAATGATGTCCGATTCAAATACTGTATCTGATGATGAAAGTGTTAGCGAAGGTCCTGGTTCTTATTCTGATTCCACAACTTCCGATGATGAGGATGAGAGTCTTAACATTAAAAACAGTCAAGAGGATCTTGACACCATAAGCACTATTATTAAAGACGTAGAAATGTTACAAATAAAACAAAAGCCATGTTTACTAAAACAGCAATCTTTACCAGCATTTGAAATCAGTCGATTGGACTCGGTGAGCTCTCTGTCCAATGCATATACCTATAAACCAATAGACACAAACTGGGATCTATCTGATAATGAAAATAACGAAAAAGAATGTAATAACAATTCTGACAGTATTATTGAAGCATCAACTTCTGAAACAATTTTGCCCCAAGAGGACTGTGAAAAAACAACCAATACATTCTTTGAGATTGGCGAGGAAGAAACTTCTATTACAGATAAAGACTCTGATGAACAAGTAGTTGAAGTCAAAAATGTAGAACCTGAGTTTAAGGGTATAGTACCAGAAGCTATAAAGAGTGTAAAAATAGGAGAAATGAGTTTAATAAGAACAGCTATACAAACTTTATTATTGGATAAAGCCCAGATTTTAGGAACGTACACACCACCCATAACACCATCGGAAGTATTAGATACCGAATTTCCAAAAGGTTTCATCTCAAACGATACCACCCAGAAATCAAGAATGCTCAAATCAGCTAGTTCCGTATCTTTCAAAGAATATGTAAAAAAAAGAGAACACGTCTTGGGTGTTCCTTTTACGGATATAACTGCAACTAAACTGTTTAAAAGAAGACAGTCACAGCCGTGTATACTGAAGTCAGAGGCACTAATTCCTAGAACTAACATCGATTACAAAATGTACTCAGACAATCAACTAAACAAACCTTTAGTTAAAACATTGCTCAATGAATCGTTAAATAAAACAAAATTATTTCCAAAGTCCAATATATTTAGTGATCAGAAAAGTACATTATCACTGAATTCTGATGCAATTCACCGTGAGATATCATGCAGTGATACTTCTGAAAAAAGATCTAAACCAAACTTATTATATCGAATCTTTAGTAAAAAAAGATCGCGCCCATCACCCACTTGTTCTAATACTCTTGTAGTTAATGATTTAACAACTATTAACGTTTCTTCCAATGATTCGCCTACTGATATAAAAATTCAGAGCGACATTTGTACTAGTACTAAGCACGCATGCATAACCCCTAACAGGCATAATATATCACCACAACCAGATCAAATTGGAAGTAATTATCAGCAGAACCTAGAGCAGCGAAAAAGTGACCAATCGCCTTCGAGACTCAATATTTTGGCTCAGAGAAGATCTTCAGATTCCGATCTAAGTACTACACCAAAGGGTAAGTACTAAATTATCGTTTTCATGTTTTTTGTATCAAAGATAGATATTTTATAACTACAATAAACCATGTACCTTACAAATAAAGATTTCGTATTGCATAACTCATTGTAAATAAACCACAGATTACAAAACAAACTCTTACTTTGAATTTTCAATCTCGTTTATACAGGGTGGGCCAAATCGCTGGATTTCTTTTATTACGACTAAATTATGAAGTATACCTTCTTCTTTAGGTACCGTGTCCTCTAAGGAGGTTGGTAATCATCACAACTATTTTCAATTTTGAGATTGCAGCTCAAGTCGAAGGAACTGCAATTATACCACTTTCTCAGATTGTTAAGCCAGGAGATGCGTTTTCTTCCAATACTTCGTTTTCTCTGTATTTTTCCCTGCATTATGGTTTGTAGCAACACATATTTATCTCCTCTCATAACTTGGCCGAGATGTTGTAACTTTCTTATCTTAATCGTATTCATGATTTCCATTTCCTTTGTCATCTTTCTGAGGACCTCAATATTTGTTATTCTGTCTAACTTATTTTTAATATTTTTCGTTAGGTCCACATCTCGAATGCTTCAAGTCGATCGCTCATCTCTTTCTTTAAGGTTCAGACCTCCACCCCATACAGCAGCACCGAAAATACATATGAACATATATAGTCCCAAGATTCCTAAGAGGAACATAGGGCTTCCACAAAGTGTCTCCAGCGAACTCTATTTCTGGCTAGTGCTTTGATTTAAAGCCAGGATTTTCCCATTTTTCTCCCTTCGTCCAGTACTGTCCTTCTCCAAGTTCCCTTAGGTCTGCCTACTTTCCGTCGGCCTTGGGGATTCCAATCCAGCGCTGTCCTGGCAATGTCATTTCTGACATTCAAATGTATTCCTATTTCCTGCAGTGCTTTCCATATGGCCGTATGTGTGAGCGTGTCAAAAGCTCTCTTGAAGTCCACAAAGCATACAAAGAGAGGAGAGTTGAATTCCTGTGACTGTTCTACAATTATTCTTAGTGTGTTAATTTGGTCCACACATGATCTGTTTGGTCTGAAACCGGCTTGTTCCTTCCTCAACATTGGTTCTACACTGTTTGTTAGTCGGTTGTTTATAATTATTGCTGTTAATTTATTTATAGTATTCAGAAGTGTGATTCCTCTCCAGTTTTCGCAATATCTTCTGTCACCTTTTTTTGGTATCTTTATTATTAATCCCGTTTTCCATTCTTTGGGGAACTTTTCCTCTCTCCAAGCCCTTTTCAAGAGTGGTTGGATTAGCTCTGCCACTGTACCTGGGCAAGCTTTTAACAACTCTGGTGGAATATTGTCAGGGCTGGCTGCTTTGTGTGCTTTCAGTTTTTCTATGGCCATTTCTATTTCTTGCGTTGTTGGTTCGTTGGTGTTAATTCTCAGTTGGATATTGGGTATAAGGTTTTCTGCGTCTTCTGGTGGTGTTGGGACTGCACTTAGAGATTCGCTAAAATATTCATGCCATCTTTTGACTTGTTCCTGTGGCGCTGTAATATCTTCACCTGTAGCACTTTTTACAATTGGTTGGTGGGTAGTATATCTTTTATTGGCTAGTTGTTTAGTGATATTATATAATTGTCTCATGTTTTGATGTTCATCGGCGACTCGCGCTTCTTCGGCAAGATTTTCTGCCCACTTTCTTTTGTCTTTCTTTGCTGCCTTCTTGACAACTTTATTCGCTTCTCTATAACTTTCTCTAAGTCGGTTCTTCTCTGCTGCTGTCTTGGAATTTAGTAATTCTAGATTAATGTGTTTGCGACGTTCTATTTTGTTCCACGTTTCTCTCGTAATCCACTCTTTCTTTACGTCTTTCTTTAGGCCCAGCACGTTTTCACTTGTTTCCACAAGGGCTTTGCTAATCGTTTCCCAATTTTTGTCCTGTCTTTCGTCGATTTTGGATCTCAGCTGTCGTGCGAATTCTACTTTCGTCTCGTTATTTTGTAGTTTCTCAATGTTGAACTTTTTTCGAATAGGTTTGTTCAGTTCTTTTCTATTCCTAGCTATTTTGAATCTAATTTCGACCATCATCAGGTAGTGATCACTGGCCGCATCTGCGCCTCTCCATGATCTGACATCTAAGAGAGATGTTCTCCATTGCTTACTGATTGCAACGTGGTCGATTTGATTGTAGGTGCGGTTATCTGGCGATTTCCATGATACCTTGTGGATTGTTTTGTGTGGGAACAAAGTCCCTCCAATGATTAGGTCATGGTTACCACATAATTCAATGAAGCGTTCGCCGTTGTTGTTTCTCTGGCCAGTGCCATGGTTTCCGATAACGTGTCCTAGGTTGGTGTTGTCAGTGCCAACCTTGGCATTGAAGTCTCCCATCATTATTTTTATATCGGATCTTTTAATTTGTTCTAATGTTGCTTCAAGGCATTCGTAGAAATCCTCTTTTTCTTGTTCTGTTGCTTGTTCTGTTGGTGCATAGCACTGAATCAGTGTTACCATTCTTAATTTGGTCCTAATTCTTGCAGTGATTATTCGCTCTGAAACTGGTTTCCATTCCACAAGAGAATTTTTTGTGACTTTACTAAATAGAATTCCTACTCCATTTTCATGTCTTCCGCCATCTGTTTTACCAGAGTATATCAGCAGGTCGCCTTCCATGTTGACGTGCTCTCCCGTCCCATTCCACCGTGTCTCACTGAGACCTAGTATATCGACTTTATATGCTTTCATCTCTCTACAAATTTGGGCAAGGCGTGATGCTTGCATCGTAGTTTTTATGTTCCAATATCCGATTCTTGTCCGTTTACGTAAGCCAAAGGTCGTTATCAAAGGATCCGTCCGGTTGTTCTCTGTAGAAGTTTCGAAAATCTAGTAATTTAAGGCGGATAGGTGATTGGCCTCTCGCGCCCGATTCTGATGCCGGGGCTGCCAGCTCTAGCCATCAGACTGGCCTCAGGAATTCCTGGAATGGGATCATGACATTTTCTTCATGTTTATGGTACTAAGGTTATACCGCCTATACTCGGTCGTCAGAGCCTCGTTGGTTATTTAGCAGGGTGCACCGTGTAACCATTTGTTACCGCTCGAGCAGGTGAGGTTGACATTTGGGTCATGATGTTATCGATGTTGGTTCGACCCCTTACACCCCGACCACGTACATATGAACATAATATTCTTATTTTGAGTTGTAAACTAAGGTCTCTACTGCATAATACTTTTCTCATATTATTAAATGTTGCTCTAGCTTGTCCAATTCTCATTTTTATTTCTTCTGTATACTCGTTATTTTCATTAATAATTGTACCAGGATATCTGTAATTTTTACTTTTTCTATTGGAACCCCTCTTATGTCTAAAATGTCTTGTTGTATTTTGAAAATTGTAATAAATTTTGTTTTTTAGCATTAAGCGTTAGTCCACTTTCCTCACTAGTATTTACTACATTATCTAAGAGTGTCTGTAGATCTTGTATATTCTTTGTAATTAGTATTGTATCATCGGCATATCTGATATTGTTGATGGGTCTGCCGTTGATTTTTATTCCAATTGTTACATTTTCGAGTGATTTTTTAATTATTTCTTTCGAATATAGATTGGACAATAAGGGGGGAGTGTATGCAACGTAAGGGGGAGTGTATGCAACCTTGCCTTACGCCTCTTTTTATCCCTACTTCCTCCGAAAGTTCTTTGCCTACTCTGACTTTTGCTGTTTGGTTAAAGTAAAGATGACTTATTATTCTTAAGTCTTTTTTGTCAATGTGTTTATCTTTAAGTAACTGTATAAGACGATTGTGTCGGACCTTATCGAACGCCTTATTGTAATTAATAAAACAAACATAGAGTGGTTGGTTTACATCCATACATCTTTGCATGAGGATGTTAAATCCAAATAATGCCTCTCGTGTACCCATGGCATTCCTAAATCCAAATTGGATTTCAGTGATGTCTTGTTCCATTTTTCTGAAAATTTTTAAATGGATAATTTTTAAGAATATTTTTAGTGTGTGACTCATTATGCTAATTATACGGTGGTCATTACATTCCCTTGCATTAGGTTTTTTTTGGTAATGTAATAAATGTTGATTTGAGCCAATCTCTCGGAATAATACCGGTATTATATATAGTATTATATAAGTCTACTAATACATTGATATGATCTTCTGATATTAATTTAATTATTTCAGTTGGAACTGTGTCAGGCCCCACAGTTTTATTAGATTTTGACAGATTTAGCATGTATTGTTTCTACCTTAGTTATATTTGGAGCTATATCATGTTCCTCGCAATCGTTCATTCTATCTTGTTATGTCCTGTCGTCCTCAAACAATTCTTGGACGTATTCTGTCCATGTGTTTAGTTTGCCTTTGATATCAGATATTATTTTACCATTCGTATCAACCAGGGTGTTACTATTGTTGGACTGTCTTATACCTGCTAATTCTTTTTTGTGCAATTCAAAACTATCATGATTTCTCTGGAGTTCTTCTATCTCTAAGCATTTGTCGTTGTATCACTTCTCTTTATCTGCCCGTATTTTTATCCTGATCTCCTTGTGTCTGGCTTTGTATTCGTTTACATTTTTGTTTTTATATGATCTTCTTTTGTCCTTTTGTTGCCGGATCTCATCTGTCATCGATGGAATCTTAGCCTCATCGATTTTGTGACTACTCAGCGTATCTTTAATTGGCATCATTAATGTGTTCTTAAATGTTTCCCATTTTTGGATTTCCCATCCTAAATGGATTTCCCATCCTAATTGGTTTCCCCATCTTAAATGTTGGAATCTTCATTATCAATGACTATTGTTTTGTTTAACTCTTGGTTAATTTTCAACGTTAGTTCTCCTTTTATATTCGGGTGTTTTAGCAGAGTGCTTATTTGTTTTGTCTTTTGTTGATTTTTTATTTTCGTTAAGTGGATTTCGAATTTTACAATTACTGGATTGTGGTCTGATGACACATCTATTCCTGGATATGTCTTTGCCGATTTGATGGAGTTACGGTATCTCTTATTGATAAGGATATA